GTAGGGATGGTGACCCAAAAGCCCTTTCCTGTGGGCTGGGAGCAGCCAGAGGGATGGTGGCTGGGAAGCCCCTTCCTCTGGAGCAGGAGCAGTGGGACTGTGGCTCAGAAGCCCCTACCTCTGGGCCTGGAGCAGCAGGACTCAGTACCTTGGTCTGGTGGTCTGGTGTCCTTTGCGTCTTTGTAGTGTGGAACCAGGTGGCTGCCTGTCTGCAGCGGGGTGATTCAATGTCTTCCACGTGACTCAGGACCTCGGTAGGGCATGCACAGACCTGCCTGTCTGCAGCAGGCTAATTATGTTCATTTTTAAATATTAGAAATTTTTTTGTTGTGGGAGATGAACCCAGGACTTTCATGTGCTAGGCAAGCACTCTATCACTGAGCTATATTTTCAGCCCCTTTTAATTTTTATTTTGAGACAGGGCATCACCAAGCAGCCCAGGCTGGTCTCTAACTCGCAGTTTGCCTCCCTCAGCCTCCCAAGTGGCTGGGGTTACAGCTCCGCGACAGCACAGCCAGCTCTTGTGTTTATGTATGTGAGCTCCCTATGTGTATGTGTGTGATTGCAAATATATTATTGCTTTTAAAGATGCTCATGTGTAAAAAAACAACTTTGGATCAGGGAGAAGGTCCAAAAATTGTTCATCAGCATATACCTCTAAAACTGCTGGATTAAAAGATTAGTTCTCTATTTAATTGTAATATCGATATAGCCATTTGAGTGGGGATGCCTTGCAACAAAAATTTGATTCCAGCTCTAACAGTTGATCAGATTTAAGTAATAACTATTAAAGAGTCTAGAAAAATTATTTTTCTCTCATAATTGACTGATACTAACCTTTAATAGTTGATAAAAAAATAGTGATATGTTTAACTTGTGAATTTATTAAACAGATCTTTTTTGATAACCAAATAGCTTTCCATGGTTTCTTATGAGCCATTTTGTTGTTGTTATACTTTTCTTAAAATCAGGACATATAGGAAAGAAATGGAGTACTACTGAGCCATAAACAATGATAAATTAGAGACATTTATAGCTATATGGGTGCATATTGAGGCCATATTCCTAAGTGAAATTAATAGGACACACATGTATAAATACTGAATTGTCTCTCTGGTGTGAGAAACCAAAAGTATAAATGAGGACCAAAATTTGTAACAGTTAGTTTGAAACAGGAAGCAAACATTCATAGGGAAAGGAGAAATGGGGGAGGGGAGATAAAGGAAAGAAAAAAATATGAGACAAGAAGGAAAAAATGGAACCAAAACTTTTGTAAATAGGGAGGGGTGAAGGGGTAGAAGGGAGGGCAGCAGAATGGGAAAAAACAAGAGCTAAGATATATCATGTGCAGGTACAAATTCTCAATGATGAATGTGATCATAACGTATACCTAAAATGTACCAATAAAGTTAATTTAAACAAAAAGAAATGAAAGGGAGAGAACATTATTGTAGCATTGTTGGAAGATTATCTTCTTGGTTTTTCCCTCCAGTGGATCCTAAAGTGGCAGGACGGAAACCAGTGTTCACATTTTGTGCCATGAGGGCAGATGACGGGCCATGCAAAGCACTGATGAAGAGATTTTATTTCAATATTTTAACTCATGAGTGTGAAGAATTTATATATGGAGGATGTCATGGAAATGAGAATCGATTTGACAGTATGGAGGAGTGCAAAACAACATGTATAGAAGGTGGGTTTCCAACCCAACAGCCTTTGCGTGTATTGGGTCTAATCACAAGTTTGATGCTTTTAGAAAATAGTAATGAAATACTAATTTAATGTTACCAAGGAATCTTTTTGCTCCACAATTTTAGCTATCATGCTTATATACTATTTTTCTCTGTTTCATGTAAGTTGTTATACAATTTTTAAGCCTTGTTTATTGTCCTCCACCTTTCATAACAAAGAAGAAAGAAAAGCTCTCAAGTCCCCAAGACAGTTTTGCACTTGCAATGACCAAGTGTGAGTCAGCCCCCCGGAAGCTGTTAGCTGGCAGGGAAAGGACTGTCAGGATGACTTAGTCCCACCTTGGTCAACACAGTGACCTCAGGGCTGCCTGCTCTACAGACAAAGAAACTGAGAATTCACTTTGAGGCTCTCTAGCTACTAATTGGAAAATATTGGTCAAAATTTTAAATGTTCTTATCTCACTTTATTTTTCTGAATTGTGAGTTAAGAGAGAAAACTCTGAGTCACTTTAACTCCCCAGTTTCTAACCAGATATCCCCCCACAGTATGTTCTCAATGCTGGTCAAATCCAATTGTAGTACACTAGAGATGACATCTTTAATGTGCAACACTAGATATCTTGGCTTCTTTGTTATTTTTTATTGTTATTTCTGCTTTTGCAAAGCAAGCAGCTGTCCTTTCTCAGTCTTTCCAAAACTGTTTAGGTTTTCTAAACAGACTTGGCGTTGTGGTGCTCTTGGCCTACAAGGAAAGTCTCAATGTAGTGAAAACAGGGACCCTCTGGGCTCTGTGACTCTGTGAGATGCTTTGTTGTGTACTCCTGAGCTGACAGAGGAGAACTGAAGGAATATATTGAACTTCAGAGCACTTCCTTCTCTTCGCTCTCTGTAGTAGATGCTCTAGGAAAATTACCGACACTCATCAGGCAGCTCGGTGGCCACTGGTGGAGCCATTGTCGCTTGTGATTGGCTGGTCATTGTCCACTCAACATGATTTCTGTACCCTGCTTCCTTCCATGCATATTGGGACAACTGTCCTTTAGTGTAGAATGAAAGACCGCTCTTAGTCTTCAGTGCCTTGGCTGAGTCCTGGTTGGCTCAGTCTTTGTAATCCTTGCTCTGTTACTTAGCAGTCTACTTTTTTTCATCAACTCGTTACTTCTCTGAAATTTATACCTGTTCCTTCTTCTTTCTTTAATACCTCAACAACTCCTATTTCAACAGTGTGCAAAAAAATTATTTTCCTTAAAATCTAGCAATATATAATCATTTGGTCCATTACTGGCAGCCCAGCCCACTTTTATCTTTTAAACATCTTTACTGGAAGCATACAAATAAATGTAAATCCCTGGCCCTCATCTCCCTCTCCTCATTATCTTTTCAAATTCTATTTAATATTATTGTGTGAACATCTGCGGTTTTTAATAAGGTACTGGTAAGGATACAGTAGGCATATAGAAAAAAACTGCTAGACCTTTGAAAAAATCACTGAAAGGAAAAATTCACTTTTTAGCCATGATGGAGTAAATAGAACTGGACTGTCTCTCCTAACATAAGTATCTAAAGAGAATCTGAACAAAATATATCAATCAACTATTTTCAGACATTAGTTAAAAGTTAGCGCAGGATTGTAATATCTGAAAGAAGAGAAATACAAAAGATGAGTCCTCCCGTCACTGCATTCTGCATGAAAGCACTCTGGACCGGTGAAGGAAGGGGATTCCCTGAATAGCACTGCTACAGGATGAGTAAAGGAACATAGCTGGTGTTTTTAGAACAATGTGTGAGAGAAAATGAACTCATGCAGAGAAAAAACCCTCAGAAATCTAGATAGCATCTTTGATTTTTCACTGAATAAAAAAATCTGCATTTACTTGGTAAAATTACATGAATTTTGATGATAATAATCAAATAACTTTAAGTGAAACATTTTTGAGAAGAATTTAATATTTGACTTAATGCTAGGATGACATTGGCCCTAGAGTAAAGGCTACCTTGGACTCCCCCTAAGAGTGCTTAAAAACAAACTTTAAATGACCCAGTGATCCACAGATAACTACCTGCCAAAAGGCACTTCAGCATACTTCAAAGGAAGACAACAAAATCTATTGACTAAAACTATATTAAAAACATCTATAATCTGTCCACCTCTAAAATATGAAACATTTAAAGAAAATGCAAATTGTGATTCTCAACTAGGAGAAAAGCAACTCAATTCAAACAGGCAAAACTAATAAAGGTGATAAAATTAGCAGACTAGAACTTTAAAAGAACTATTACTACTGTACTAAAGAATTTAAAGAAATTGTGAATATGGAGAAAATGCAATCTATAAAGGAGAACTAAATGAAAATTCTAAACTGGAGACATAAAACATATGAAATAAGAAATTTAGCAGATGTATGAAGAGTAGGTTAGAAACTGCAGAAGAAAAGATCAATAAACTTAAAGACAACACAACATAGTGTTTAAAATGAAGCACACCAGCGATTCCCCTCAAAAATGTAAAAGATGAAATTCTATCATTTGTAGCAACATGGATAAAACTAGAGATAATTATATTATGTGAAATAAGCTAGGCACAGTACGCCAAAGACAGTGCGGACTCAGTCACACGTGAAATCGGGAAACGCTGATCTTCTAGAAGCTGAGAGGACAATGGTGGGTCTGAGAGGCTGGGCGCAGTGGTGAGGCTGAGGAAGCAGCTAGGAGAGGAAGTGGCAGATCAGTGAAACGCAGTTTGTTAGGCACTGCACAGTGATACAGAGAGCCATGATACACATCCGGAGAGGTGGATACGCTTAACCTCATTTAACATCATACAATGTGTCAAAACATGGTATCATACCCCATTAATATGCACACCTTGTTTTTTGTGTAAGTTAAAAAATAAATGTATTGCTATAGGTAAAGTAGTGTTTTAGTTATAAGAACTAAACAATCTTTGGAGAAGATAAGAACTTTAATTGCTTTTAAGATATTATACAAATAATTTTCAATGCTAATGAGTTTTCAATGATACTGATATTATATTATAAATTCTGGCAATTGATACACATAGTTTGTTTTTCTTGCAGAATTTTCACCACTGAAGAAGTCAACATTGGAAAATGGTAAATATTCATTTATGTGCATGTTAGTAGAACTTAAAAGCACCTAGATATTATCAAAATTTTTAGGCTTTTCTGTTATAGGGTTGCTCACAAGCCATATGATATCTGAAATGATGTTTTGTTTCCGTGGGTATAGTGAGCAATAAGAAACCATATACATGAGATTAGCCAGAGGACCTTCCACACACTATTTTTCCTCGCATCTTAACACAGCACAATATTCAGTGTTAGACGTTCTGTCCAAAGGTACACTTGCTATTTAACAGCTTCCAGGTAGTTATGGAGATGTTGCTAGTCTTGTTTCCATTCTCTGTTCTCTAACCCTGTGTTAATGTGAGCACTGTGTGGCTTAGGAAATTATATCCAACATTTCCCCAAATGGAGGTATGTCTTTGACTTATCAACAGTTCTATATTCGAACATCACTGGAAATAGTGACAAATAATTGCCTTTGTTGACATCACTTACTGGGTGGGTACATCTTTGATTTTGTGATTTAAATTGCTTTATTTATTATTTATAACAAGAAATAATTATGTTTTAGTGAATATATCAGCCCAAAGGCTAACAACAGACCAAGTAAACTAATCATGTTTCAATAAAGGTCTTAATTCCATTATCATCTATGGCATTTAAATTTAAATGAGAAAATACTAAACAGAGACATCAAGTTATTTAACTCAAGACATGAGAGATTACAGAATTCAGAATGGTTTCACTTATTTTGATTTAATCATGTGGGAAGAAGTTCAAAATTTTCTTTACTCAGTTTAATTTTGAGGCTTAATTTAATTATCAGAATGTGAGTCAAAATGTAAAAAGCAAATCCAGTGTCTAAGTTTTTACAGACAATGCACACAAATATACATAATTACATACTATTTTAAAAGTAGCTTTTTGTAGGTATTGAATTAATCTTGACAAAAATGTTCATTATATGAATTAAATGAAATATTATCAAAGAATATAGCATTTTTATAAAGGAGGTTCTGTCCACTAAGTAAAAGAAGATATTTTCAGGAAAGGAAATACCAATATAGGCATTAAGACTAGGTATTAGGTATTAAGGTATAGGTATTAAGGTCTTTTTCCAAAAACATAGAATTAGAAAAATTTGTAAACTAAAATTTTGCTGTAAATTATGTTATAAAGTATATATCTAAGCCAGGTGTGGTGGTGCCCACCTATAATCCCAGCACTCCGGGAGGCTGAATTGGAAGATCAGTGGGTCTCAAGTTTGAGGCCAGCCTGAGCAACTCAGCGAGACCTGGTTTCAAAATACAAAATAAGGAAAAGGCTGGAGATGTAGCTCCGAGCAAAGTGTTCAATACCAAACACAGAAGATAGATGGATGGAGGGATAGACAGATAGACAGATGGATGATAGAAAAAACAGGTGATAGAGATGGATATACAAATGACAGAGGTAGAAATGATAGAGAAAGAGCAATAGATGGTTATAATAATTCAAAAATCATTCTTAATTGCTATTACACATGAAAGTTAGAAAATAAAGCTTTAGTCACACTTGTTAGAAATTTATATGCTCAAACAAATCCATAAAAACCCTTCTGTCAACTTGAAGTTACTTTTAGTGATATGATACAATGGTGGTAAGGACGGTGGACATTCATTGTAGTCCTTCGGAAAGAAAATTTACTCACAGGCAAATTCCAAGTACTCAGGCCCACATAAAAACTAACATTAAAAATTTCATGGCCTGTGAAAGTTGGTATCTGGTATATACAGTCTTCATTTGGTGTTACTCAACTTTAAACATCAATTTAGAGAAACAGTGTGTATGCAAATTCAGAAGTATGGCACTTTTATTTATCTAAAGATAGAGAAAATTAATTTCTTGTTTCTTAACAATATTTTTAATTGTGGTCCTAGGAAGAATTATTTGATGTGTTGCTTTTTCCTAAAATAAATTACGTCCTTTACCGGGGCCTTATTTAAATAATAACAACTTCCAATTTATTAATTATACAAATCAGCATAAATTTTATCATTTCTTTTGCTCTTTTTGTGCAATGTTTTTATTCTCTCACTTTTGTTAAACATAAAATTCCTGTGTTAAAATTATTTAAATTTTAATTAAAAATGCGTGGTAACTAAAACAAATAGAAATGACTAATTCAATATATTTTTGTTTCTTTTATGAAAAGGGATTATGAAAATTTAAAGAATTTTTTTTATCATTTCCTGCTTGTTACAAGTTACCACAAATAAGAGTGTCATTCACTTTGAAAAACAGCTATATGACATGAAGAATGCCCAATAGCACTAATTAAGGAAGTTCAAAACAAACCTAAAATGAGATCACATTTCACTCCTGTTAGAATGGCTATTATCAAAAAACAAAAGATAGCACTGTTGGTAGGAATCTAAATTTTTTTCTTTCCTTATGGAAAACAGTAAGGAGGTTTTTCAAACACTTAAATTAAGGAGAGAACTACTATATGATCCTGTAACCTGATATATACTTGATATATGTCAAAGGGAAGTGAACTTAATACCCTGAGAAGGTATCTTCATTCCCACATTTACAGAAGCATTATACAATAGCCAAGATATGGAATGAGACTTAGGTGTTCACCAACAGATAAATGGACAAGAAGATGTGGTGTATATACATGGAGGGAAAAATACAGAAATTGGAGCTTTGTCCAAAATATTCAACTCCAATAAGTCTTGTGAGTACAGCACATGTGATAATTAGGTCACTTCTCCTTAGATAATATGCGTGCACACCAAGCTTAAATGTAGATCAGAATATCACAACTTTGGTGACAGCTGCGTTTAGCGTGCTTTGGAACATTATCTAGAAGGGCTATTGGACTTTTGCAAAAGCCTCTTCAGTCCCTGAACATGTATTTCCTTTCTGCCTCTGTGCTGCTGGAATCATTCCAATACTTGGAAGGAAAAAAAAGTCACAGTAGGGGAGGATGTCATAGCTAGTACAGATATTAATTCTAGCATAAAAAAAGAATCCAGGAACTTCCAAGAATAGCCACAAAAGCTTCCGTACTTCTCCAATCTTTTCCAAATTTTAAAGTTTAAACCATTCTTAATGAGGAACATACAGCACTGATTTCTCCAATAATCCTCATACTTCAATAACAAATTATTCATAAATCTTGCTTTAATATTGAGCACATAAGCTCAATATTACTAATTAAACCAAAATTTGCCATATTATTTTGTACTTCCAAAGCATGGGTAGCACATGACAAAATAATATATTTTATTTATTCAGTTCATGAAAAAAAACCTGATAGCTAATTCTCTATTCACTATGAGCAATGTAGAACTTGAAATGTCAATTACAAAAATTTGTGTGACAATAATGTCTTCATTTTGTAAACACCAAAATCAAATGATAGATGATTGTAACATTGTATAATTTCCAGTAAAGTCATGCTTTTACTTCTTAATTTGTCATATTTACCCATTAAATAACTATGTATCTAATTAAATAACTAAAGTATTTACCAAAAAAAGAGAATATTGCCTTCTGACACTGTGATCACTTTTAGGAAAACCAGATTTATGCTTTTTGGAAAATGATGTTGGAATCTGTCGAGCTTATATTACCAGATATTTTTATAACAATCAGACAAGACAATGTGAGCCTTTCGCATATGGTGGATGCCTAGGCAACCTAAACAACTTTGAATCACTGGAAGAATGCAAGAACACCTGTGACAGCCCAGGTAATTCATTGTCCATGTCATAAGCCTCCTTTTACAAATCAGGCATCTTAGAGGATGATCAGAATGATGCAGGTTTTGTTTCAGCCATGTAATTACTTTTACATATTTCATCTGACCTCCTCAGAATACTGTAGTATAATTCTGGCCTAGTGGTTGGATTTCTGAAATCCCTATTCTTATGAAAATTTGAGGGCAAATAGTTATGTGGAAACAACCGCTTGAAATCCACCTGGTTTACCTGCACATATAATGTAACAGGGCCCTTTAAATATTAACAGCTGGACATTATTGACCATGAACTCCAAAGTTCCTCCTGAAATTATTATTTTATAATATACATATATATTTAAAATTCACTACCGGCAAATTTAATGTAGCAATGTGACTGAAATTTCTAGAACTCTACTCTTCTTCAACCACCTATTTTGCTTCGTTTCATGTATACAAATACAAAATGGTGACAATGGTCTCCTGTTTCAGTTGGCCACATTTTGTTTTTTTCAGTGAATGATCTCCAGGCAGATGGTTATAAAACCACACCTGTTCCACTTGTTACCAAAAATACTAAGTCTTTGACTCCCCAACCTACCAAAGCATCCAGCATTTGGGGTAAGAATCTCATGTTTTAATTCATTCCTGAAAACTATTATCATGATTGCAAATGAAGCATATTACATATTGGAAGTGTCCCTTTAAAACAGTCAATTTGCTATTTAATAATACATGTGTTGATACACATGTTGAAGACATATGATCTCATAAAAGAAATACTTTTTCTAATCGTTTTAAAGTATGCTTTGAAACAGAATTTTGTTTATGAATCACATGAAAAACTTTCATATGGCATTTAACTCAATGCTAAATTTATCTTATAAAATAATACTAGGAATTACCAGCCTCAGTGGATGGTGATAAATCATTTTCCTGGAAGCCACATGCCAAAGCAGTCTAAAGTGCTTTTAAATTGAGCCAGGAGCTGGGCCGGGTCTCCGGTGTTAAAGGGCAGATTTCAAAGTACTTGAGCGTCCGTCCCCAAAAGGCCTGTCACTGCAGAGAGAATTTTCTCTTGGGCTTCTGCAGAATTCCTTTCTGGATTCTACCTTGTTGGCATATTTATCAGATTTAGGCAAGGATACAGAAATACTCCCTGAAAAGTGCAAACCTGAGGAAATAGTGCAAATACTGGAAAACATAACCAGAAAACATTAATATCTGGAAGATTAGAAAGAATTTAAAATGCTGAAAATTAAACAGAAAAAATAGAAAGGTTGACCTCAATTGCAAAAATCACATGTATTCATTCGGAAATTGGAGCTTTCGCTTAGAAGCAGTCTGTGGAAATACGTCAAATACAAACTTGGCATGAGATTAAGGAGTTCTTGTAACTATTAAAATTAAAAACATAGTAGTAAGAAACACTAGTTTGGCGCAGGAGGTGTTCACCCTGGCCATATATCAGAATCAGATGAGATTCAGAAGCGCAATGAAAGAAACTAGCAGCGAGCAACAGGAAACAAAGAGAACGTCTGCCCGGATGGATTGAACTACCGCGAATGCTGACAGGAACAGGCCTAGAATGGGGCTGAGCTTTGTCGTACAGGGAACGGGTCACTCGTGGGACTTGCTTCAGCCCCTAGCCCCCAGAGAATTCACAACACGCTTGTAGAAGGGCTGGAAAGTGTGAGGAGCCCTGAAATCCAAGAGGGAGGAGGACTAAGTCCTGGGTATAACCGCATCACCCTTCAGTCCGCCCATCCCACTTCGGCCCCATGCCCACCCCACAGCTCCCCCGACCCAGCCTCGGCCCCAGGATGAAGCGTGAGGTCTAAAGTATGAACATCTTTCTATATAATATTTTTTGATTTGAGATCTCCGAAAATGATGACCATCTCATTTCACAAATTAGTAAATAACTTAAATTGCAGATACTCAAGCAGTGTCCTAATAGCATAAGATAGCATCAAAGGAATGCAGATTTGCAATGGGGGTGGAACAATATGAACAATATGTCCTCAAAAATCCCTTCGGGTCCTTGGGTTCTATAATTAGAGCACCTAATTCTGTGGCAGGTGAATTTAAGTCTTAACATTGCTTTGTTTGGAATAAGTGTCCCTGTTGGGGGATTTATATAGAAAATGGTTTCATTGAATTGCGCTTTTCTTTCTTTCCAGCTTTATAACTTTCAGCTGTATAACTTTTGTTTTATTAAATAGCACATGTTCAAAAGCATGTTAAGTATTATTGCTGTAAAAGATGTGAGAGTGGCTGGAGATTTAGCTCAGTGGTTCCACCACCTGCCTCGCAAGCACAAGGACCCGAGTTTGATCCCCAGTACCAAAAAAAAAAAAAAGACATGAGAGTTTAGGACAGAATTTAATGACACACATCTACAAATAAATGTATAAAACTGCATTTCAATATGTTTCAGGATTTTTGTTTGAATTCAGTACCAATTCAAGCAGAGATTTTCAGTCATTTATCTTTAAAATGAGTAGAGTAGATTAGTTTGGGGATACTTTTACCTTGAAGTTTTAAGAAGTATAAAATTCATTATTATACCTTTTGATTAAAAGGTATAATAGATAATGTGAAATAGGAAGAAAGGGTCCAAAGCGGAAGGGAAAGTGGGAGGGGTAGGGGAAAGGAATAAATATGAGAAAAGGAAAAAACAGAAACAACGTCTTTGTAAATAGGGAGGGATGCAGGGGTTGAAGGGAGAGCAGGGGAAGGGGAAAAAAGATATAGAACCAAAAAAGAACCAATATATATCATGTAAAGGTACAAATTCCCAATGATGAATGTCGTCATATCATATACCTAACATGTACCAATAAATTTAATGAAAAAAATGCATTATTGTTCTGCAGACATACTCTGAGATAAGAAAGAGGAAATGAGGAAAATAAGTGTGAGAAAGTAATATGCATACGTTTTAAATAGTCCTTGGTTTATGTCCATTCTAGGTTTTTATGAAAGATACCAATGGAAAAGTGTGCTAAATAAAGTTATAAAACAAAATACTGGCGGGTGTGGTGGTGCATGCCTGTAATCTCAGAACTCAGGAGGTTGATGTAGGAAGATGACTATGAGTTCCAGGCCAGCCTGAGCTACATAGTGAGACCCTGACTCAAAAAAAACCAAACAAAAAACCCACAAAACCAAAATACTAAGAAAGAGGTAAAACTCTGACCATATGAATTTAAAAGAAAGCATTAATAAGCATTTTTATGTAAAAGAGTAAGCATTTGAAAGTTTTCACAGTAAATGCATTTAAAATTTTAAAAAAACATTTATTTTTGTTCAAAAAGCATTTTCATTTTTATTATATGTATTTGCCTCAAAACCTACATTTGTATGGCCAATCATTTCCTAGGAACATAATGCATTCTTTCTTTTTTCTTTTGTAAGCTTCCTAAACTAAGACATGAAAAAATATTGTAAAATGGCTACAAGGAGTTCAATACTACTTACCACATAGAGGTGGGCATTGAATCCCTGCCGATTTGTCCTGACACAACCCTGGAGCTGCCTTGTCTGGGACACAGAGGTTGGAGGCACATGTCCCTCTGTCCCATCTAACTCTTTGCCCTGCTTTGTCCAAGGGGTGTGCTAAAATCTAGAAAAAGTGCCTCATTTCCCAGTTCAAAAGATGATATCTATCACTGCATGCAATTACAGTAATACATTATATTTGGTTCCTAGTTTACGTAGAACCTTGTTATTCAAGGGTTTCATCAAAAGTGCAAGGCTCTCTGTGGCAATCAATTTCTACTTAAAAACATGCAAATCCTTTAAGGTTTCATTCAGTGTGCATGAATCACCACATAAATGAAATAGCATTTCTTTAAAACTCTTGCTCTTAAATAAAAATCCTTAAGTAGAGTATTTGTGTGGTCTAAAATTTAATTATTGTTCACTAAATGGAAGACATAATTTTAATGTTCTCTGCATGATGATATTAGAAAAGTAACTTAGAAATTTTGCTTAATGTTTACCAGCTGCTAGAAAATATCTTATAAATTTTTTTTAGTTTTTATTTATTCTCAAGTGCTCACATTATAAATGGATTTAAGAATATATTTTCCCAGTGATGTTTCTAGACTCAAGATGCTTGAATACTTATTAAATCCAATGGAGGTTTAATTCTTTTTATTTTTATGTTTCAATTTTAAGTCTATTTGTGTAATTTCAAAGACTGAGCTTTATTCTTCCCTAAAGAAATTTTGAAAAAATCATTTTAAGCATATCCTTAAATGAGATTATCATTTCTTATTGATCTGCTGAATTAAGAGGATCTCACATTACCTACAGTGAACATGTTCGCCTTACATGTGTGAGAGAACTAATTCCAAAGCAATTTCTCCAGCTAGTCAGTTTTATGCATAATCTTCAGAATGAAAACACTTGTCTCCTGACCTCTCCCCTGTGACTGACAATATGCTATAATAAATAAAAGACCCTTGAGCACAAAGACATGGGTTCAAATCCCAGCTCTTGGACTTAAGATACTTCTTCACCTCTCTGAGTCTTACTGTTCTTCTGCAAAATGGGTATGGCAGTGCTGTAGTGCTACTATGACCAGCTTTGCTGGGGAGGAGAGACAGTCAGCCGGACAGTGTCTGGAGGACAGGCCTGGCACCTGCTGGGCGCTGTGTGGTGTTACTTCCTGTCCTCTGCAAGATTCACAACAACACGCTAACTGCTCAGCCATTAGCTTCTCATCTGTAAAACAGCTCTGTAAGTCCCCACTTTTGGAAGAAATAAATATTTCAGCATTTACAAATTTTCTAATTATTAAAATTAGGGGCACAAAAATTGGAAGTAGCCGGGAAGGATGGCAGGGAAAGGAGACGAAAAAAGAATTCAGATGCATTATGTAAGATGCACGTACAAGCTCGCCACAGCACTTGTGATCATTAGGTGCTGCAGCCATGTATTGATAAAAAATAATAATGAAAAGAAAAAAATAGTATCTATTTTTGGATAAGAAAAAAATAAATATACGGTATCAAAATCACAACTAATTTTAAAAACGAATTCACACCTGAACTAAATTTATCTACATAAGCAAACTCAAATAGTTTACATGTGTTTCTTAAAAACAAGTTGGCCGTATTGCTATGAACAAATGTCATGGGGCTTTGAAGCCAAAAAAAGTAGATTTGTATAACTTATTTTTTCAACACTTCCCACTTGCGAAACATCTAGAGTTCACCATTATTTTTTCAGTATTCCAGTCAGAACACAGAGAAATTTCTATTAATTGCTTCTCTTCTAGTCATTCATTAAATTCTGTTGGATTTTCTGAAGAGATATGTTTCCATCTCTCAAATTTGTGGTCCTGTCTGTTTTGTTCAGATCATCAGCTTCTCCTGTTTAGATTATTAAAACTATCATCGATCATTCAAAGGTCATTAATGAGGGCAAAAATGGGATGCTAGAAACATTTAGTCACATATTTATTTTAAATATATAGATATTGGAAGAAAATTAGAATTGTCATTTTGATATATCAGTGAAATAATTTTATACTTAAAGGTAGTTAAATTTTCTTAAATTGTATATATGTTGAGGATGCTATCTCTAAAACCCAAGCCTAAGTTAATACT